CTTATTCCTCAATGCTCCAAAATGCAACAAATACCTACAAAATGAATGGAAAAACATCAAACGTTACACTATGTACACAAAAACACAAATAAACACAAACTAAATGTATTTACACAAAATTCGTGTTTATTCAACGATATTAACAACAAAAAGTCGATAAGTGCAACAAAAAGTATACACAAAAATAACTATAATTTGCACTTATTAGCTATCAAGCTAGGAAGAAGATCCCACTATCAGTAGTATTATTTTATGTAAACAACCTCAGGTTTACAGGTAAACAACCTCCATTTTACCTAATCACTACCCAATATAATATTTATCTCACAACCCAATCTAAGATAATATAAACTCATCTCACTCCCTAAATCACCTCAATGATATCTAACAATCACAACCTCTGGTGACTGCATCAAACTACTTGAAAGACACCCCTTTCAAATAAATTTTCTGCCAATACTCTTGACTAACAAGCATACTTATATTTGCTTCACAGCTTCATCCAAGAACAATATACAATTCATTACCTAAAGGCTTTGGAATGTGTATAAAAACTATGTCTACCACGATGTATCAAATCGATACAAAGGGTGACTTACAACACAAGAAAGTACTCGACTCTCAAAACACCAAACCCTTTTTTTTTCTTCAAAGTTTTATGTGAGGATTATTTAAACAGCCCTAGCTATAACCCTTCCTTTTATATTCTTCATATGTCCATGGGCTTCGAATCTTCTGTTAAAATATTCCTTGATCCACTGCTAAGGCACTCCTTAAATCTTGAAACAGATTTACCAAAATCTAGTTGTAGTAGTCTAAGATGTCGAGTTTTCATGGTAGGACATCTTGTTCGACATGTTGTTCTTCACATATTTTTAAATTTTTTTTAGCATCTTGATTTACCAAAATTAGTCAAATATTTAGTTCTTAAATCTTTAGAGCTTTTAAAGCCCAACTCCCTTCTTTAGGAAAGGTTGGATAAGGATGAAGCAAAAGTTGATCGCCAAGATGCCTCTATCAATGCGCTTACCAGCATGATGAAGGATTTCATGGCCAAATTTGTGCCTCCTCCTCCTGCACAAAGCCCTTAGACCTTATTTTCCCTTTGTTTTTAGAACTAAGATGTTTTCTATAACTTTTTTGTAACTTGGTCTTTTGGTTATTGGAATTATGTTTTCTTTTTCCTTTTATAAATATTTTTTATTTCTGACAAATGGGGAGAAAGTGATATGATTTTGATATAATCTATTCTCATTATTTGCTCCTAAACATTTTAAATGTTTGTGCCACTAATGATGATTGACTCAGGAACTTTGAGAAATTTCACTGCAAACAGACAAATTCAGATGCTCTGAAGGAAATTCAGAAGCTAAAGATCCATAAGTCATGCGTTGTAAAATTTCTGAAAGAAGAAAATTCAACTAGAATTGGATGCTATCACACACTGATACCGTCAACCAGTCTCTGGTGGGACATCAAGACTCTGATGATGTTGTGATCAAGTATATCTAGATTGTGATACAACACTTTGATACTATCAATCAAACTTTGTACACCATAACATTGTGAAAGTATAACCAGAACCTGAGATGGAGATTTTTGTAACACTATTCAGACTATGATGGTAAACCAGATCAGATACCTTATCAAACTCTGATAGCAAGCTAGAATCTGAGACGAAGAGTTTTGCATCGCTAAGTCAGGAGTATGATAGGTCTTTAATCAGGGAATTATTCCTTCATTCTAATTAACCTTATGTTATTTCTCAAAACTTCTTTAAGTCTTGAACTCAGGGGATGTCCTTGAACAAGATTAAACAAGTTCTAGGAATATATAACTCAGGGGTAAGATTAAATCTTTTTTTTATGAAAGTCGTTACATTGTTTACCCAGAATATTAATATACTAATTTGTTTACAAAGTACATAGGTTACCTAGATTATTAAAAATACATTGTATGGAAAAATCTTCGTTGATATCAATATTTAGTTCTCCTCAAGATTGTCCAGATCCCATGCAAGATGCTAGAGATTCATTTCCCCATGAGAATGAGAATATTTATTTTTCACTGATATCCATCTTCTGAAAGGTTAAGCTCCATTCTTTGTTTAACTTTTCAAAAGTTGAGCTCCATTCTTTGTTTAACTTGAAACAAGAATTATTTTTCGCACTTACAATCTATCAAAAGAGAAAAAATACAACATCAACAACAACAACAACAAAAACAAAAACAACGTCATCAACACCATTATGTGAGATAGATTGCAAGAGAAAAAATATTTTGTTCTAGATAGAAGAACATTGAATAGTTTTTGTCTTGTAATCCATCCTAAATAATGATGCGTGTGAGTTTGGGGCGGCTTCATATAAGTAAGGATTAGATTAAAAACTGTTTAACGATTGCTTTTATAGTGAAATATCACTATTTAATTACTATGTTATATCAAAAAACTAAAGGGTTGGTTCACTTAGTTTACACTTATAAAAAAATAAAAAAACATAAACTGCAATGGTTGAGATTAGAAGTGTGTCATGATTTGATTTTTCCCCTCAGTTATTTTAAAAATTGAGGGAATAGTTGTTTTTTATTTTTATAAATAAATAAAGATGGTGCACCATAACATTATAAATCGGTTTTTCTTTGGGTGAAGTGAAAGCTTCGTCATAAAAAACGTTATTTGTTGTAGTGTATGTAAGAATTATTGGATGCAAATGTGAGTGGTTAAAGTCACATATTGCCTATGAATGAGTGGAATGATTGATTTATAAGAGAGATGGCCCATTTATATAACACCTAAAGGTTTTAGGTGGATATGTGGCATCTCTCTCTCTCTCTTGTGGTCCAGGAGCATTGGTTATATTGGTTCTCCTGAACTACCCAACAGTGGTATCAGAGTTGTGGTTCGGCTTGGTGGAGGAGCACGAGCTATATTCGATCTTGGATCCTGTTATAAAATATGTGGGACTCACACTTGTGGGGTAGAATGTTGGGTACAAATGTGAGTGCAATGTTGGGATCCCACATTGCCTATGAATGGGTGGAATGCTAGATTTATAAGAGAGAGGATCCATTTACCTAACACCTTAAGGTTTTAGGTTGATATTGTAAGAACAAGATTTAGTTCTGCATCTGGACTTGAGTTTTGATGATAACATTACATGTTTGATTAGATAATAATTTAGTAACCTAATGGTTTGTTTAGTGTGTAGCTTTTACTAACATGTTCTAACTCTAAAGAAGTGACATGTGATGTCATCAGATTTTGGACTCAACATATTAAAGAATAGAAGTTTGTGTTTCACGACTTAGAATGCGTATTAAAGCAACAACTCTGATTGAACATTAGTTTTATTTCTTATAACTATGTCTTTGTTCTAGGCTTCTGATACGTTCTAAAGATCTGAAGATTCCAAGTTATCTTGCCCAAGTTCTGAAGATTCTAAAGACAAAGTTATGTTGAAAAAGTTCTGGAGATTCTGAAGACCAACAGTTCTCTAGACCAACTTCTGAAGACTCTAAAGACAAGTTTATGTTGAATAGAGTTCTCAAGACTATGAAAAAAATGTTATGAAGACTTTGAAGACAAGGTTCATGTTGAACAAGTTCTGAAGACTTTGTTGACATGGTTCTGGAGACTTTTTTTTTATCCTTTTACACATGGTTCAACCAATAAACATCCAGAAGCCTCTAAAGATCAGAAGAGAAAATAAAAAGGTTTCACGTGAGTTGTAGTATTAGGTACAACATCACCTCGCCTCCACTATGCTAGTTTTGTGGCGCAAGGATAATACTTTTGTATTAGGTTGTATGTCACTCTCTCAATGATCGTTACAAGAAGACAACTGGAATTTTGGTATTCTTATTCTACCCTCTAGTGGATTTCTTTTCAGTTATAAAAGGAAGACTTGAAAGAATTGGAAATGTTGAAGAACTTTGAAGAAACTCACGCTTATTCAAATTGCTAAAACGCTACCAAAATATCTCTGTAATTTTTGTAAAGCAAGGATTTGTTGCTCATTAACTTGCTAGCAATAAATTTTTGTTTGTTATTGCTTAACACTTATGTGTTATTATTTGTACCTAAATATTATGTAATTCACTTGTAAGAAGAAATCATGTAAACACAAAATATATATATTCAACTGTAAGAGTATTGTTCCTTGAGTGACTGAGTGAAGGTCTGTAGATTCAAGAAGACAAAGACAGTTGGTTTTTATGATTGGTTCCTTGAGTGACTAAGTGTTAGTCTGTATACTCAAGAAGACAAAGACAATTGGTCTTTATGGTTTTCAACAGTGACAGATAGTCTTGTTACGGTTTTGTAATCAGTTTGGTTATAATGGATTAAGTCCTTATTGAGAAGGAAAATCACTTTGGCGGGTGGACTAGATTAACTTTGTTAACAGTGAATCAAGATAAAAATAATTGTGTTCATTTATTTTTATTCTGCTGTTGAGAGTTTGTGATTGAGTTTGGAGAATTTTTATTTGATGAACTCAATTCAAGCCCCTCTTTCTTATATTTCTTGCACCTTCAGATATATGTCATCTCCCTTTCTTGTGGTCCTTTAAAAGTGTAGCTAGAACTAAAATAACCACGACTATAATTTTTAACAACGGTTTGACCATAATTTGTGAAATATGGTCTATGCGGCCGTTGCCTATTTCCCGTGACCATGGTTTTTTACTTTAACCCACATAATTTTAATAATCATCGCCTAAGATAAGTGAAGAGGGTGCGGTTTTGTTTTCCTTACTTTAGGCAACGGTTTATTGAATTTGGTATAGGTCATGGTTTATTTACTTGCTTTAGGCTGCGGTTATATGGAGTCTTCCAAAAGAAAAAACATAACTAAATAAATATGATATTCTAAAAAATAAAACAACCAAGTTTTTCATTTAAAAAAACTGAATCCTTCAAGCATTCCATTAGTTTCATTCATATTCACGATCTTCCAAAAAAACAAGTCATTCAAGCATTCCACTATATTCATTCATCATTCATTCATCTTCATGATCTTCGGATCCAAACTATGGCAAAAAAAACATGACAACATTAATAATTTTAAAGGAGTATGTGCAACAAAACTTTCACAAAAGATTACGAACAACACAAGTAATCTATATTGCCTTATAGAATTGTTTTTCATTTGTTATCCACTCATCTTTTTGCAAATTATCGTATGCCCCTAAAACCTATTGGTATTATGTACTAAAAAAGACAAAATAATGCATAGAAGTTGAGTCAGTAATCCTAAATTCCTAATGGTGAGAGAGTACCAAAGAAATATAAAGAAAAAGGATGTAATTGGATGAAAATTATAATAAATGGGAGAATCAATTGTACATCATTCCAATGAAAGAATATGAAACAAAACAAAACCCCATCATAGTATGATGGATTCTGTAGGTGGCCAACATAGTCAAACTCAGTAATTTGTGCATTTCAACTTGGCATAAACAAATATACTTACACATGAAACAAGAGGTGGGCAATACTATTTCTTTCTTAGTTTTTGTGAGTTTTTGGATTTGAGATTTTTCTATTTAGTAATCTATTTTTCTACTTACTAAAAAAATCTAAATTTATAGTCATATAACTCAAAATGATATATCATACCTTTCTAGGAAGATGGGTCGAAGTAGAGGAATGGTGTGCTGCACTATTTTCAATTCCTAAAGCATGCTCCATCATGTTATCCACGGCATCCTCACTTAAATTTGGATTTTGTTGCTTCAATACAGATTTTAGAAGGGATTTGAATGCTTCCGTCCTTTTCTTTGTGAATGACTCATATATTTTCATCCTCTTTTTTATGATATTTGTTGTATCTCAAAATTTTTCCACTCATTTTATTCAAAAACATTTCTTAGGGTTCTCAAATGCTCAAGATTGCTCAAAAATTGATCAGACAAATTCTCTTCCTAAACGATGGGTCCACAACTAGGGTTTCATCTTTCATAAGGAATTTTGGGTTTCTAAGGTCTCAAGTGGTTTTCATGGTTCTATATATGTCTCAAGAAATTATCATACCAAGTTTCAAGTCTTACATCACAAGTTTGCTCAATCAATGGCTCAAATGACTGAAAAGTCAATTGTATTGGGTAAAAAGTCAACTGTGGTCAACATACAGTCAAACCTCAAGATTTTTGGTCAACATCACCATTTTGAAGCCACATTCATCATTTGATCAAGGGTTGATCATGATGGATTAATAAAAACCCTCAAATCATCAAAAGTCAAAAGTTGTCAAATTAGGGTTTCCTTAGGAGAAATCAACTGAACTTTGACCAAGCATAACTTTCACATGCTTCATCAGTTTTTCCCTGACCAAAGCTCATTTTGAAGGAAATTCAATTCTCTACAACTTTTTATATATAAGCTCAAGTCCAAAAAATGCTTCATTTGAGAGATATGAGCTAATACATTACAGGTCATTTCAAAAGTCATAAAAAGACACTTTTTGTGAATATAACTTACATCAAGATAACATCTTCAAATGAAAAAATGATCAAAAGACTAGTTGTATAGGACATCTTGATCTTTCCAAAAATTCAAATATCACCTTCAAAAGATGAAAATTGAGATAGTTATGACTAGTGCAAGTTGGGAAATTTTGAATAAATACATGAAGTTCAAATTGAGCAAATTTGATATTTTAGGCTAATGGGCCATTACTTCATAGTCTAGATGTGTTTTACAACTTATAATGAACCTCATATCTTACTCTTACACCATTTGACCTTTTATTTAATTTACTTTGATTTTTTATCTATTATTAATTCAAAATAAATTAAATAAATGTCAAATGATTGGACTTAGGCGCATGGCTTTGGTCTTGGGCCAAATTTGAAGCCCAAAAAGCTCATATATAGCTAGCAACTCGTGTGACGTCATGGAAAATATGGTTTACTCAAGATAGAAACTTTCCATGCAAAAATTCAAAGAAAATATTTTCATCATAATACACAAAGATATCTCTCATATTTGTTGACCTAATACACTCTCCTATATATATTCAATAAAATCAAATCAAAAGGACCATGCATGCAAGCCTCTTTGAACAACCCTAAAGCTCATAAATTTTCATGAATTAGGGAAAACTCAAAACCCTTTCTGCAGTCGTTCTCACTCAAAGCCAACAATTGAATCATTCTCCTGAGGCTTCTAGGAGTTCATCCAAACCTTTTTCCCAGCCAAACCGTGTTCAGAACAAGCTATCTAAGTCGCGTCGATATTGGTAGAATTTTTGAACTCAACACTTTAATTTACACATTGTTGATTGATTTGAAGCATGTGTACATGTTCATGATGATGTTTAGGGTTGTTTAGGACCATTAAGTGCAAGCTCTAACGTAGGATCCGAGTTTCACCATGACTAGGGCAAGAAACTCGTAAACCTTCATACTCGATGATACAGGTCGTGTTGGATGAAACTAACCCCACCGCTGAATTCATAGGGTCCAACATAATTGACCTATGCTCTTTCTTTGTTCGTTTTGATTGGTTTTGTAGGTTTTTGAGAAAAATACCCATCGGAGATGATGGTGTTTTCCACCCTCCACGGTGGTTTGACCTTTCTGGCCAATGGCGTGGTAGTTTGAAGCAACCTGATTAGTTGACATTTGGTGCAGGGTCCCACTGGCTCTGATATTTTTTCTAATTCAAAATAAGCGCAATTTTATTATTTAACATTTTGTTTATGTGTTAATCAACGGATGTACAGCCACCCCAGTGGCAAGCGAGCACGCGTTAAGGCATAAATGTCCCAGGGCGTGGGTTTGATCTTGGTGTTTGCAATATTTTTTTTACATCTTTTCTGTTTTGCAGATCCAATGTAACAACCCATGCGTCTCAACGATACACCTTCTTGTCATCATCCTTGGATCTCAATAGATCCAGATCCAGCGTCTCAGATGTGTCCCCCCCCCCCCACGGTGAACCTCCTGGAGCCATCCTCACTGGATCCGGTGTAGGCATACTGGGCCTTGTCTCTTTGGGCCTAGCGGATTATTTTTCCATACCCCCCATAGTTTGTTATTCAGGCCCAACTTTTCCTTTTTCTTTGTTCTTTTTTTTACAACCTAATTAGTTTTTTCTTTAGTTAACTTAATTAAAATTAATTTAGACTTTAGACTTTTTTAATTTACTTAACTAATCATATTTTAATAATTAAATTAATTTCATTTTTTTAATCGATATTAATTTAGTTCTTTTAGGTATCTTTCACTAACCTTTTTAATTAAATTAAAATCAACTTAGATTTTTTAGAGTTTGTTTAATTTAATTAACCAATTTTTTTAATTAATTAAAATTAATTAGGTTATTAGGTTAATCATTAAATCTTTTTCTATCAAGAAAAACATCAAGATAATTTCCTTTTCCTTTTCCTTTTTACCGCTTCGCGTATTTTATTGTTTTCGCCTTTTCGATTATTGTAACTGCTTACGGTTTGTAATAGTTAATTAGAGTTTCTATCTCCCCCATTTTTTACTATTTGTACCCCCACTTACGAAGCCTTGTAATAGCGTAGGAACCTTTAATTTCTACCTTTACTTTCTGCATTTATCGCTTTCCTTATAATTTTTTAGCTAATAGGATTGTATGGCAAGACATAAAAGCAAAGGATAGTTAACCTAATTGCAAGATAAATAACTGAAAAACAAAAACACTCTTAACACTCGCACCTCTAGGGTAACCTCACTTGTTTCCCTGGAAAGAAAATAGTCATGTCCCTTGAACGTGGGGACGCTTTAGCACTGTCCCTCGATTAAAAATGTCGCAGTCCCTCGATGACCCTTTTGATTCTTCCTTCGGTAAATGATCTTAGTCCCTTAACGAAATTGCTAAAGTGCCCCTACAAGTTACCTTCGATGACTGTACGGTGACCCGCGCATGTCCCTTCAAATCCAACGATATGGATTCTTACAATCTAATGGTAGGATAGCACTATCTAAAGGAGGGGGAAAAGAACGATAAAGACCTTGAGCAGGTAGACAGCTGTTAATCGCTTGCTCACAAAGAAACAAACAATTTTTCACACAAACACTTTCAAAAATAATTTCAAACAAAACACTTTGTATGCATTCTCGGGGACAGTATGAGAATCATTACAAAGTTTTGCCTTACAACTGGCATTTTCAAAATATTTTCAAAGACATTCACAAAGCATTTTCAAAAGTGAGCTAGTGATTAAGAGCCCGTAGATAAAAGAAAAGTCGGTGGCGACTCTTCCTATCCGCAACATTTGTGATAAAATGCCAAACCAAAAGTCGGTTCTCCCACCGTATTATAGAATTGGTGACTCTGTTGGGGACACTAAAAAAAAGTGGGGTTATCTTTAGAGTTATATCACTTTTAAACACTTTCTTTATTTGATTTATTTGCTTTATTTTTAAAGGGTTGTTTGGGTTTATTTCTTGCAAAGATCCTATACCCGAGTCTGGGGGTGTTTTAGGTAAGTAGCTATAGATCGTGGAAATTATACGGCGTAGATCGATATGGTTGAAGTGATGGCTAGGTTAGTGCGACACATTGGTTTGTGTTGGTGTCCCTTGAGTCAGTCAAGGAGAATGTTGGGATGTCGTGTGGTGTTATAAGAACTAACTGGCCTTTAGAACCTTAATTGACCCAACTTAACCATTATAAGGTAGTGAGATGGCCGGCTTTGGTGCAGTTCAAAGTTGGTTGATACTTGATGTTACACTCATTGAGATTCGACTCTCGGGATATTTTGGTCGCAAATCAGATGTTGTGCTAAAATAATGCCTGGGAGAAAGATCGGTGATATGAGACTCCTAGAACCTAGTCACTTTTCTTAGGAAAGGTTGAACCAACTAAACTTAAAGAGGGTACTTACCTAAAAACTCCATGCAAGCCTTAAACCTAAGTCCTTGTATGCTTTGCTTGTGTTTGATTATCTATTTGAGCATGACATCATACCATATCATTTTCACTGACCATTTCAAGGATCTCGAGGGCCTGTGGTGCAGGTTTATTATGAACCAGACGTGTAGCAAGGGGCAAGAGGATTTATTTTCCTCTAACCAAATGGCGTCAAAGTATCATGAACTAAAGTCTAGCAAGGGGCAAGGGGATTTATTTTCCTCAAAGCAATGTCGTCAAAGACCGAAGTACGTTATCTTGAGTCAAAAGCTAGTACCCACTCGACATGGTGAGCTTGATTCTCATATAAGTATGTTCAACGATGCAAAGTCCTTCAGTCAAAGCTGCAGCCAGACTCGACTTCTAACACTTCTTTTCTGTTTATCCTGTGAGATCTTTGAAAATATTGCATATACATATCATGCACGTCATTACATCACAAGTTTTTGATACAGGTTTTCTCATCTTCTTGTTGTTTATTTCAGTAAAAGATGGCTCTAGAACAAAATGTCAAGGGACTCCAAGTACAGAATGCCCAATTTCAAGAGATGCTCCTGAACTTGGCCCAGGGGAAGAAAGAGATGATGGAGATTATCACCAAAAAGAAGAAGACTCAGAAGCTAGTTGCTATCATCAATATGGGGAGAAGGTTAAAAAACCTTCCTAAGCCAGCTCAGAATTGTGTTATTTCTTCCGAGGAAGAAGATAATTAAGAGGAAGACGGTAGAAGTATCAAGGCTGAAGGAGGAAGCAACATTGGCTCTGGTAAAATTCCTGAGGATGAAGATTACTCTGATGAACAGTATCCTCCTGTTGATGATAGGTACAAACAGTTGGAAGATCGCCTCAATGCTATGGAAATCCAGAAAGTTCCTGGACTGGATTTTGAGGAGGTGGGTCTTACTACGGGGGTTTTTATC